CTCTAACAGGCTGTAGGGGCAAGTGCTGTTAGCTAGCACCACACACACAGACAAAGATCCCCCGTGTAGCCTCTAACAGGCTGTAGGGGCAAGTGCTGTTAGCGAGCAGCTCACACACAGACACAGACAAAGATCACCCGTGTAGCCTCTAACAGGCTGTAGGGGCAAGTGCTGTTAGCTAGCACCACACACACAGACACAGACAAAGATCCCCCGTGTAGCCTCTAACAAGCTGTAGGGGCAAGTGCTGTTAGCGAGTAGCAGCAGCACCTATGAAGGCTACCGGCACTGTGGCACACACAGAGGGGGTGGGTGGCCAGCACCACGCCCGGCCGCCTTTGTCTCCCCCAGTGGCGATGTTTAACTAACACACAGCACCAGGTACTCATTTGAGGCTGAGTCGACCTCAAATGAGTCGCGTGAGTGTGTGAGTGTGCGTGTGTGTGTGAGTGTGTGTGAGTGTGTGTGAGTGTGTGTGTGAGTGTGTGTGAGTGTGTGAGTGAGTGTGAGTGTGTGTGTGAGAGTGTGTGGGTGTGTGTGAGTGCGTGTGTGTGTGTGAGTGTGCATGTGAGTGTGTGTGTCAGTGTGAGTGTGCGTGCGAGTGTGCGTGTCAGTGTGAGTGTGTGTGTGTGAGAGTGTGCGTGTCAGTGTGAGTGCGAGCGTGTGTGTGAGTGTGCGTGCGCGTGTGTGCGCGTGTGTGTGAGTGTGCGTGTGAGTGTGTGCGTGTCAGTGTGAGTGCGCGTGAGTGTGCGTGTGAGTGCGTGAGTGTGCGTGTGAGTGCGTGTGAGTGCGTGTGTGCGTGCGTGTGCGTGCGTGAGTGTGCGTGTGAGTGCGTGTGTGTGTGTGTGTGTGCGAGCGTGTGTGCGTGTGAGTGCGTGTGTGTGTGCGTGCGTGTGCGTGCGGGCGGGCGTGCGTGTGTGAGCGTGTGTGCGTGTGTGTGAGTATGTGTGAGTGTGTGTGCGTGTGTGTGTGTGTGAGTGTGTGTGAGTGTATGTGTGAGTGTGTGTGAGTGTGTGTGGGAGCGTGTGTGAGCCAGTGTGCGTGCGCGTGTGTACGCGTGTACGTGTGTGCGAGCGTGCATGTGTACGTGTATGTGTGTACGTGTGTGTGTGTACGTGTGTGTACGTGTGTGTGTGTGAGTGTGCGTGAGTGTGTGCGTGTGTACGTGTGTGTGTGTGTACGTGTGTGTGTGTGTACGTGTGTGTGTGTGTGTATGTGTACGTGTGTGTGTGTGTGTGTACGTGTGTGTGTGTGTACGTGTACACGTGTGTGTGCATGAGTGTACGTGTGTGTGCGTGAGTGTGTACGTGTGTACGTGTACGTGTGTGTGTGTGAGTGTGTGTGTGTACGTGTGAGTGCGTGTGTGTGTGTGTGCGTGTGTGTGTGTGCGTGAGTGTACGTGTGTGTACGTGTGTGTGTGTGTGTGCGTGTGTACATGTGTGTGTGTGTACGTGTGTGTGTGTACGTGTGTGTACGTGTGTGTGTGTGTACGTGTGTGTGTGTACGTGTGTGTGTGCGTGAGTGTACGTGTGTGTGTGTGAGTGTGTACGTGTGTGTGTATGTGTACGTGTGTACGTGTGTGCGTGTGTGCGTGTGTGTGTGTACGTGTGAGTGTGTGTGTGTATGTGTACGTGTGTGTGTGTGTACGTGTGTGTGTGTGAGTGTGTGTGTGTGTGTACGTGTGAGTGTGTGTGTGTGTACGTGTGTGTGTGTGTGTACGTGTGTGTGTGTGTGTGTGCGTGAGTGTACGTGTGTGTGTGTGAGTGTGTACGTGTGTGTGTATGTGTACGTGTGTGCGTGTGTGCGTGTGTGTGTGTACGTGTGAGTGTGTGTGAGTGTGTGTGTGTATGTGTACGTGTGTGTGTGTACGTGTGTGTGTGTGAGTGTGTGTGTGTATGTGTACGTGTGAGTGTGTGTGTGTGTACGTGTGTGTGTGTGTGTGTATGTGTACGTGTGTGTGTGTGTATACGTGTATGTGTGTACGTGTGTGTGCGTGTGTGTATGTGTACGTGTACACGTGTGCGCGTGTGTGTATGTGTACGTGTGTGTGTGTGTGTATGTGTGTGTGTGTGTACACGTGTGTGTGTGTGTACGTGTACACGTGTGTGTGTGTGTGTGTGCCCGCACGCCCACCGAGCCCCGAGAAGTCGGCGACCATGAAGTATCCGCCGTGGGGCAGTGTGGGCCGCATGCCGGCCCGGCTCAGCACGGAGGCCAAGCGGTCGCGCTTGGCCTGCAGCAGGCGCGGCAGCCAGCGGAAGTAGCAGGCGGACGAGTCGAGGCGGAGCAGCTCCTGCTGCAGGCCCTGGGCCACCGCCTCCTGAGGGCGGCACGGGGGTGGGGGGGGGGGTGTGGGGGGGTGAGTTCCCCCACCCCCCAACACCGACACCACCACCAGCTCCTCCTTAACCAGGCCGAGGAGATTCCCCCCCCCCACCACTCCCCCCACCCCTTCCCCCCACGTACACACGCACACACCGCGTACACACGCACACACACGTACACACGCACACACACGCACACACACACACGTACACACACACTTACACGTACACCACGCACACACACGTACACACGCACGTACACACACGTACACACGTACACACGTACACACACACGTACACACACACCACGTACACGCACACCACGCACACACACGTACACACGTACACACACACCACGCACACACACGTACACCACGCACACACACGTACACACGCACACACACGCACACACACACACACGTACACACACGTACACACACGTACACACACGTACACACACGTACACACACACTTACACGAACACCACGCACACACACGTACACCACACACACACACGTACACACACGTACACGTACACACACACGTACACACGTACACCACGCACACACACGCACACACACACACACGTACACACACGTACACACACGTACACACACGTACACACACACATACACACACACGTACACCACACACACGTACACCACACACACGTACACCACACACACGTACACACGTACACACACACGTACACCATGCACACGCACGTACACATGCACGTACACACGTATACACGTACACACACACGTACACACACACACACGTACACACACACGTACACACGCACCTGTGTGGGTGTGGGGCAGGTGTAGATGCAGTTCTGGTGCACCGTCTGCAAGTGTTTGACGAGGTGGTCAGGTCCCACGGTCCAGCCCAGCTGCGATGACGTCATAACCAACACACAACAAAGGTAAAGGTCCCCCCCACCCTGCCACCAGGTAGCCTTCAAGGGAGTGTCGGGGCAAGTGCTGTCAGTAGCGAGCAGCAGCGGCGGTGGTGGAGGAGGTCGTGGTGGTGATGAAGGCGGGGGTGGTGGAGGAGGTGGTGGTGGTGGTGACGGTGGTGGCGGCGGTGGTGGTGGTGGTGGTGGTGATGAAGGCGGGGGTGGTGGAGGAGGTGGTGGTGGTGGTGGTGATGGCGGCGGTAGTAATGATGAAGGCAGGAGTGGTGGAGGAGGTTGTGGTGGTGGTGACGGTGGTGGTGGTGGTGGTGGTGGCGGCAGTGGTGGTGGTGATGAAGGCGGTGGTGGTGATGAAAGTGGTGGTGGCGGTGACGGTGGTGGTGGTGGCGGCGGTGGTGACGGTGGTGGTGGTGACGGTGGTGGTGGTGACGGTGGTGGTGACGGTGGTGGTGGTGGTGGTAGCCTGCCCCACACCTTCCAGCCGGTGACGCTGAACGTCTTCCCGGCACTGCCCACGGTGAGGGTCCGCTCCCACATGCCAGGCAGCGTGGCTACACACGGACACGGTCACCAATCAATAACCATCAATCAATCACCAATGATCCTTTGATTACAAAGCTCATGAAAACTAGAGACAAGGCTTGGGCATGTGCTCCGAAAAGTAATTTGGTCAATGACTGGCTAGAATACAGGATTTTAAGGAATAGATGCGTCAAAACATACGGCATGCAAAAAATGCCTATTTTTCCTCCACTCTCCTGGAATCACATGGAAATTCCAGGATTTTCTGGAAAACAATCAAATCTATCGAAAAGGCATCCAAAATAGACAATCTGCCCGTTGAGCTTAACCGAAATGGGGAATATTTTTCAGATTCCCAAAAAAATAGTTGACAATTTTAACCTTCATTTTTCTGAAGCTGGTAATCTTTTTTGATAATATATTGGGAGTCACCTCCTCTGCTCATGCAAATTCCTACACCCCTGTCCAAACATTAAACGAATTTAGTTTCCAGCCAATCCACGAAAGTAATGTTCTGAAACAACTGTCCTACCTCAAAGGGTCCTCCTCTACAGGAGCAGATAGTTTTCCCGTCTTTGCTCTACTAACTGTTGGTCACCTAATATACAAACCTATAGCCCATATTTTAAACCTGTCCATCAAAGAAGCATCAGTTCCCCTAGAATGGAAACATTCCTACAGTGAGGGAAAAAAGTATTTGATCCCCCCTGCTGATTTTGTACGTTTGCCCACTGACAAAGAAATGATCAGTTTATAATTTTAATGGTAGGTTTATTTGAACAGTGAGAGACAGAATAACAACAAAAAAATCCAGAAAAACGCATGTCAAAAATGTTATAAATGGATTTGCATTTTAATAAGGGAAATAAGTATTTGACCCCCTCTCAATCAGAAAGATTTCTGGCTCCCAGGTGTCTTTTATACGAGCTGAGATTAGGAGCACACTCTTAAAAGGAGTGCTCCTAATCTCAGCTTGTTACCTGTATAAAAGACACCTGTCCACAGAAGCAATCAATCAATCAGATTCCAAACTCTCCACCATGGCCAAGACAAAAGAGCTCTCCAAGGATGTCAGGGACAAGATTGTAGACCTACACAAGGCTGGAATGGGCTACAAGACCATTGCCAAGCAGCTTGGTGAGAAGGTGACAACAGTTGGTGTGATTATTCACAAATGGAACAAACACAAGAGAACTGTCAATCTCCCTCGGCCTGGGGCTCCATGCAAGATCTCACCTCGTGGAGTTGCAATGATCATGAGAACGGTGAGGAATCAGCCCAGAACTACACGGGAGGATCTTGTCAATGATCTCAAGGCAGCTGGGACCATAGTCACCACGAAAACAATTGGTAACACACTACGCCGTGAAGGACTGAAATCCTGCAGCGCCCGCAAGGTCCCCCTGCTCAAGAAAGCACATATACATGCCCGTCTGAAGTTTGTCAATGAACATCTGAATGATTCAGAGGACAACTGGGTGAAAGTGTTGTGGTCAGATGACACCAAAATGGAGCTCTTTGGCATCAACTCAACTCGCCGTGTTTGGAGGAGGAATGCTGCCTATGACCCCAAGAACACCATCCCCACCGTCAAACATGGAGGTGGAAACATTATGCTTTGGGGGTGTTTTTCTGCTAAGGGGACAGGACAACTTCACCGCATCAAAGGGACGATGGACGGGGCCATGTACCATCAAATATTGGGTGAGAACCTCCTTCCCTCAGCCAGGGCATTGGAAATGGGTCCTGGATGGGTATTCCAGCATGACAATGACCCAAAACACACGGCCAAGGCAACAAAGGAGTGGCTCAAGAAGAAGCACATTAAGGTCCTGGAGTGGCCTAGCCAGTCTCCAGACCTTAATCCCATAGAAAATTTGTGGAGGGAGCTGAAGGTTCGAGTTGCCATACGTCAGCCTCGAAACCTTAATGACTTGGAGAAGATCTGCAAAGAATAGTGGGACAAAATCCCTCCTGAGATGTGTGCAAACCTGGTGGCCAACTACAAGAAACATCTGACCTCTGTGATTGCCAACAAGGGTTTTGCCACCAAGTACTAAATCATGTTTTGCAGAGGGGTCAAATACTTATTTCCCTCATTACAATGCAAATCAATTTATTACATTTTTGACATGCGTTTTTTCTGGATTTTGTTGATGTCATTCTGTCTCTCACTGTTCAAATAAACCTACCATTAAAATTATAGACTGATCATTTCTTTGTCAGTGGGCAAACGTACAAAATCAGCAGGGGATCAAATACTTTTTTCCCTCACTGTATGTCCGTCCACTTCACAAAGGGGGCCCTAAAGATGATCCCAATAACTTCCGACCTATCTCAATGTTGTCCCCGTTGATGAAATTTTTTGAAAAATGATTGAACTCCCAAATTAGCAGTTTCCTGTCCACCAACAATGTACTACATCTGAAACAATCTGGGTTCCGAAAAAAATACAGCACCACATCTGCTGCATTAGACTCTCTGAATCACATTTACAGTAGCCTTGATAATAAGCAGTACTGTGCCTGTCTTTTTCTAGACCTGACCAAAGCTTTTGATACAGTAGACCACAACACCCTGCTTAGTAAACTAAGTTGCCTCGGTTTTTCCGAAAACGCAGTAAAATGGTTACAAAATTACCTCTTTTCTCGCACCCAAACTGTATTCACAGATGGTTGGAGGTCAAACAGTGTTAAGATAACAAAAGGGGTTCCACAGGGTTCCATCCTCGGCCCCCTTTTGCTCTCTCTTTACGTCAATGACTTGGGCACTGACCTGGATCATTCCAGGGTAAATCTTTTTGCAGATGACACGATACTGATTACTGCTGGCCGCTCTCCGGATGACGTGATTGCTAAGCTCCAGGGTGATTTCAACAAAGTACAACATCAGCTAGTTGCTCTTAAACTAGTCCTGAATACCTCCAAAACCAAGGTGCTATGCTTCTCACCGGGACTAAAGCAGGAAGTTATTTTTCCCCAATTACATTCCTTAAATAATTGTCAAATAGAGCAAGTCAAGATCTATAAGTATCTTGGGGTCATCCTGGATTCAAAACTGAATTTTCAAGACCGCATTGATTATATTGGTAAAAAGACAAAAATAAAAATTGGTTTTCTGTATCGACACAAGCACTGCTTCCCCCCAATGTTCCGTTTGGAATTGATAAAAGCTACCATACTGCCTCTACTTGACTACTGTGACATCGTGTATAAATCAGCCCCAAGTACTGTACTGAAGAAGCTTGATTCCATCTATCACTCGGCCTTAAGATTTACATTGAACTGCCCATATAGGACTCATCACTGTGATCTCTACATTGGGTCAAACTTAACATCTCTTAATGTTCGACGGCTTGTGCACCAGATCTTATTTATTCACGATGTACTTACAACAAAATCCGCAGACTACCTGCTGGATCTCCTCTCTGTTTCAAAGAACAAATTTGACCTCAGGTCTTCGCTCATTTACCAGCTTCACATTCCCTATTGCCGTACAAAAACTGGAGGAAGGGCCTTTGCTATTGGTGTGTGTGTGGTGTGTGTGTGTGTGTACGTGTGTGTGGGGTGTGTGTGTGTACGTGTGTGGTGTGTGTGGTGTGTGTGGTGTGTGGTGTGTGTGGTGTGTGTGTGTGTGGTGTGTGTGTGTACGTGTGTGTGTACTAGTGTGTGGGGTGTGTACGTGTGTGTATTTGTGTGTGTGGTGTGTGTGTGGGGTGTGTGTGGTGTGTGTGGGGTGTGTGTGTGGTGTGTGTGTGTACGTGTGTGTGTGGTGTGTGGGGAGCGGTAGTGTAGCAGTTAGCGCTACGCTGCGCTATGAACCTGGCGACTCGGGTTCGATTCCCGCTCACGGCCAACACCAGTGACGATTATCTTAACCGGTCCCGGGCCTCCCCTAGGTCGACTCAGCCTCAAATGAGTACCTGGTGCGGTGTGTAAACATTGCCACTAGGGAGACAAAGGCGGTCGGGCGTGGTTCTGGCCACCCACCCCCTTGTGTACTGATCCGGCCTTCATAGGTGCTCGCTAACAGCACTTGCCCCTACAGTCTGTTAAGGCTATACGGGGGATCTGTGTGGTGTGTGTGTGTGGTGTGTGTGTGTGGTGTGTGGTGTGCGTGGTGTGTGTGTGTACGTGTGTGTGTGTGGTGTGTGTGTACATGGTGTGTGTGTATGTGGTGTGTGTGGGTTTGTGTGTGTGTGGTGTGTGTACGTGGTGTGTGTGTGTGTGCGTGTGGTGTGTGTGTACGTGGTGTGTGTGTGTGTGGTGTGTGTGTGCGTGTGTACGTGTGTGTGTGGTGTGTGTGTGGGGTGTTTGTGGTGTGTGTGTACGTGGTGTGTGTGTGTACGTGTGTGTGTGTGTACGTGTGTGGTGTGTGTGTACGTGTGTGGTGTGTGTGTACGTGTGTGTGGTGTGTGTGTGTGTGGTGTGTGTGTGTGTACGTGGTGTGTGTGTGTGTGTGTGCGTGTGGTGCGTGTGTGCACGTAGTGTGTGTGTGTCGGTGTGTGCGTGTGTGCGTGTGTACGTGTGTGCGTGTGTGCACGTGGTCCGTGCGTCTCACCGATGCGTGTGTGCGTGTGCCCGCTGTACACGAGCCACTCGTACACCTCGTCGCTGATGCACAGCACGTCGTGATGCACGCACAGGTCGGCAATCACCTGCAGCTCCTCCCTCGTGTACACCTACACACACACAGCCAAAGGTCCCCCGTGTAGCCTTCGCAGACTGTAGGGGCAAGTGCTGTTAGCGAGCAGCAGCGCCTATGAAGGCCGGAACGGCGCACGAGGGGGTGGGTGGCCAGCACCACGCCCGGCCGCCTTTGTCTCCCCCAGTGTGCGATGTTTACTACACACACACAGCACCAGGTAACTCATTTGAGGCTGAGTCGACCTAGGGGAGGCCCAGGAGCGGTTCAGATAATCGTCACCGGTGGTGTTGGCCGTGAGCGGGAATCGAACTCGGGTCATAGCTGGGTTCGTAGCGCTAACCACTACACACACACACAGTGACACACAGTGAGACACACACAGTGAGACACACACAGTGAGACACACACAGTGAGACACACACACAGTGAGACACACACACAGTGAGACACACACACAGTGAGACACACACACACAGTGAGACACACACACACAGTGAGACACACAGTGAGACACACACACACAGTGAGACACACACACAGTGAGACACACACACACAGTGAGACACACACAGTGAGACACACACACACACAGTGAGACACACACAGAGTGAGACACACACAGTGAGACACACACACAAACACACGCAGATAGACACACACACAGTGAGACACACAGTGACACACAGTGACACACACACAGTGACAGACACACAGTGAGACACACACACAGTGACATACACACACAGTGACACACACACAGTGACACACACACACACAGTGACACACACACACAGTGAGACACACACAGTGACACACATAGTGAGACACACAGTGACACACACAGTGACACACACACAGTGACACACACACACAGTGAGACACACACAGTGAGACACACAGTGACACACACACACAGTGACACAAACAAAGTGAGACACACAGTGAGACAACAACAACAACAACCGCCATTCACCACTAAGTGGCGGTGACGTCACCACGACGCTTGTGCCAGGCCATTTGCACCTTGAGGCCACGTGAAGTGTCGAACGCCCGCTGGCAGGAGGTCACGGGGCAGACCCAGGTGCAACGGGTCGACTGACTGAGATGACTGGCTGATGCACCACCTGTGCCCCCTACTGTGCCAACCTGCTGTGCTTTAGCCACCCGGCGCTCCGCTCATTGTTGTGAGCGTCGCTCCTCCGCCCTCCGTTGTTGTTGGAGAGCGACTGCCTCCAACTGCCCAGTAGCGTTCTTCACGAGCCTCCTCCACAGAGGCCGATCTTGACACCGCTGGTACCAGTCATCGGCAAGTCCACTCAGCTCCACGTCCTCCTGTACCACATCACTCCATCTCTTCTCTAGCCCGTGCCGCGCCCGCTTAGCCCCCTCAATCCGGCCAAACAAAAGCTGTTTCGGCATGCGGTGGCTGGGCATGCGGGCTACATGACCCAGCCATCGCAGCCTTGCCCGCCAGAGGAGCTCACCGATGGGACCTTGCCCAGATCTTTCAAGGATTTGTGAGCTCCTCACAGAATCCAGTCTGGTTAAACCCAGGATGGATCGTAGGCAGGCCAGCCAAAATGTTTCTAACCGGCGAAGATGTTCCATTAGGGGGGTCCACGTTTCACAAGCGTAGAGAAGGGAGGGAATGACCGTGGCCGAGAAGACCTGAAGCTTAGTGCGGAGCGACAGACCAGGTAGCTTCCACACAGCGTTACGCAACCGATGAAAAGATATTGCCGCTCGACTGATTCGGAGTTAGACCTCTGCTGTTAAACTGGAGCCGGTCATAAGCACACTGCCCAGGTATGGGAAACTCTCCACTCTCTCCACGACTGCCCCATCACCGATTGGGAGTTGTGGGGGTGGAGTGTCCGATGGTACAAAATACCCAGGCAGGTGCTTAGTTTTGGTGGGGCTGATGGTAAGGCCCCATCTCTTAGTGGCACGCTCCAGTCTCAGCAGCAGCGTCTCCAACTCCTCCTCTGAATGAGCAGCTATTACCAAATCACCGGCATACATAACGTGGTTGAGCGATAGGGAGCCATCCCTTGACCACACCCGGGCATCGATCAGCCTCCCATTATATCCGTACCATATGGAGATTCCCCCGGTACAGCTATTGAAGGCTTCACGAACTACGTGGTCAAAATAGATGCTAAATAATGTGGGAGCCACAGGACATCCCTGTCGCACCCCAAGGTGTACAGGGAATGGCTCGGACTCCCGGCCACGTAGTTTTACCCAGACCCGCTCACCATCATGAAGGTCCTTAATGATCGTGAGCAGAGGGTCAGGTACTCCAAAAGCACGAAGAACGACCCAGAGCCCAGGCCTACTGATGGTATCATAGGCCTTGACCAGGTCAATAAAGCAGAGATGTAGGTCTTGTTGGAATTCCCTACACCTCTGCTGTAGCAGACAGACAGAAAATATGGCATCTGTGCAGGACCGCCCTTTCCTGAAACCGCATTGGGGCTCCGCAAGCCTCTCCTCAGCGTGCCTGGCAAGGCGATGCTGAAAAATCCTTGCCAGGACCTTTCCCAGCACACTGAGGAGTGAGATGCCCCTGTAGTTGTTACAGTCTGTGCGGTCCCCCTTCTTAAAAAGGGGGACCACCAGGGCATCCTTCCAATCCTGCGGAACCCGTCCAGTGGTCCAGACTGTTGTTATGATGTCATATAGGGCAGTCTGTGCACAAACGCCACCCTCCCTCAGCATTTCGCTTGGGAGATCATCTCTGCCCGCTGCCTTTCCTGGTCTCAGACTCCGGATCGCCTTCAGTACTTCCTCAACAGATGGCACCTCAGCCAGCCACTCACAGGGGGTGACTTCTTCCAATATTTGAGGCACCGCAGCCTCAGCAGGGTCATCCTCACTTTGTGCCACGATGTTTTCCTGGCTGAGGGATTTTCCCTCCCCCAGGACCTCACAGAAATGCTCAGCAAATCTGCAAACCTGTTCCTGGGGGTCGGAGATTGGATCACCGTTTTTTCCCCTAATGATGGTAATAGGTGTGGCGCTGCAGGTTACTTTTTTGATGGAGTTAAATAGAGATTTGTGATCACGGGCCACTGAGGCAGACTCCATCTCCTCAGCAACCCGCGACCACCACCCATCCCTGCAGCGCCTCACGGCTCTCCGAACCTCCGAGCGAAGGCTGCGGTAAGCCTCCTCATTCTCTGACGTGGGATTTTGTAGCCGATGGCAGTGGGCCTGTCGCTTTTTCTCAACCATCCTGAACACCTCCTCTGTCAACCAGGGTCTCTGGGGAGGTCTGGACCGCGTACCCAAAGCAGCCATTGCAGCTGCATGAGTCACAGTCCTAAACCTCGCCCATTTACCCTCGACATCAGGAGGAGTCGGGGACGATGCCAATCCCAGCCGCAAGCGATGATGAAATTCTCACTTGCAACTTTCATCAGATAACTGAGACCAGGCCACTTTAGGTCGGAATGGGGTCCTGGGTGTACACCCACCACCGGAGTGGAAGAATGGCAGGCGCATCTTACAGATGACTAGTCGATGGTAAGAGGGCAGATCAGCTCCACGGTAGGTCCTGGTGTCAAGGACATGGGCTCGCATCCACTGGTCCGTCACTATGTAGTCCAGAAGATGTTCTTGCTTGGACCCGGCATGCATCCATGATGTTGTGTGGATGCGCCGATGCCGGAACAGCGTGTTGGTAACTACAAGCCCATGGGCTGCACAAAAATCTAGCAGCCTCCTACCGTTGTTATTGAGCTGATCTGGCCAATGCCCTCCAATCACTCCAGACCAGGTGCCAGTATCATGACCAACTCGGGCACTGAAGTCACCCAACATGATGACTCTATCCCGAGGGGCCACTTTAGCCAGCACCTGTGACAGGAGGTCATAGAAGGCATCTGACTCATCGGCTTTGCCTGCATCCCTCCACGGATGTTCATCTTCGGTGGGGGCATAAGTAACCACGACCACCATTCCTCGCCTCCGGTTGATGGGAAGGGGAGCCCATAGTAGCCTGGGGCTTACAGCTTCCCACACCTCACCGCCACGCTCCCACGCCCCCTTCATTCTTTTGTTCAAAAGAAGAGCCACAACCTGTTGTTTGGCAGTCTGCTGCCCCGAGTAGAGGACTGTCCACCCCTCATGGTGGCAGGAGCCAGAGCCGGTCCACCGGACCTCCTGAATGCCGCATAGATCCAGGCGGTACCGGTCCAGCTCCCGACAGAGGAGTGGCAGCCTCTCCTCCGCAGTGAGCGTTCGAACATTCCACGTGGCCACCCGTAGTGGCTTTTCGTTGTTTCTGGAGTAGCCCCGAGGGTAGGTATTCAATCTCCTGGCTCCGCCAATTGGGGTTTGGCCAGGAGACGTCATAGACGCCTGGCCCCCCGGGGCCTCCGGCACAAGCTTATTAGTTACATATTTCAGTTTAACTCGTGGTTTCGTGGTAATTAATTGAAGGTGGAGGGGTTACCAGCCCCTCGCACCCGTCCAGAGCCCCCGTTTAGCCCCTGTGGTGGACACATATGCCATGAGGGGAGGAGCCAATCAAAATTGGATCTCCCCCCACAGCACTGTCCACGACAGAGTTGCCCATCCGGCACCGCGAGGAGGTAGGGGATAGACACACACACAGTGACACACACACAGTTAGACACACACACAGTGACACACACAAAGTGAGACACAGTGACACACACACACAGTGACACACACAGTGACACACATAGTGAGACACACACACAGTGAGACACACATACAGTGAGACACACAGTGCCACACACACAGTGAGACACATAGTGAGACACACAGTGACACACACAGTGACACACACACACAGTGACACACACACAGTGAGACACACACACAGTGAGACACAGTGAGACACACACACAGTGAGACACAGTGAGACACACACAGTGACACACACACAGTGACACACACAGTGACACACACAGTGTGACACACAGTGTGACACACAGTGAGACACACTGTGTGACACACTGAGACACACAGTGACACACACAGTGACACGCACACACAGTGACACGCACAGTGACATGCACAGTGACACACACACAGTGACACACAGTCCCCCCACTGCCCCAAACCCCCCTCTAGCCCCGCCTACTCCCTCCAGCCCCCCCCTACCCCCGCTCTAACCCCTCCCTTCGAGCCCCCTCCACTGCCCCCCTCCCCCCTCTAGTCCCCACCCGTCTCGAGCTCCTCTAGCCCCCACCCTTCTAGCCCCGCCCAATCTAGCCCCGCCCTCTATCCCCGCCCTCTAGCCCCGCCCCTAGCCCCGCTAGCCCCGCCCCCTCTAGCCCCGCCCTCTATCCCCACCCCCTCTATCCCCGCCCCTCTAGCCTGCCCCATCTATCGCCGCCCCTCTAGCCCCGCCCTCTATCCCCGCCCCTCTAGCCCCGCCCCCTCTAGCCCCGCCCCCTATGGCCCCGCCCCCACCTTCCCGAGGGGGTTGTTGGGCGTGTTGAGGATCAGGGCCTTGGTCCTGGAGTTGAACTTCGACGCCAACTCGTGGGGGTCCAGGCACCAATCAGCACTCGACGTCGCCTGCCCACGCTGGTGGCACAGATAGACACACGCACAGATAGACACACAGATAGACACACAGATAGACACACAGATAGACACACACAGATAGACACACACACAGACACACAGATAGACACACACACACATAGACACAGATAGACACACAGATACACACAGAGATAGACACACAGATAGACACACAGATAGACACACACAGATAGACACACACACAGATAGACACACAGATAGACACACACACAGATAGACACACACACAGATAGACACACAGATAGACACACACACAGATAGACACACACACATAGACACACACACAGATAGACACACACACAGATAGACACACACACAGATAGACACACAGATACACACACACAGATAGACACACAGATAGACACACACACAGATAGACACACACAGATAGACACACAGATAGACACACACACAGATAGACACACACACAGATAGACACAGATAGACACACACAGATAGACACACAGATACACACACAGATAGACACACACAGATAGACACACACAGATAGACACACACACAGATAGACACACACACAGATAGACACAGATAGACACACACAGATAGACACACACACAGATAGACACACAGATAGACACACACACAGATAGACACAGATAGACACACACAGATAGACACACAGATACACACACACAGATAGACACACACAGATAGACACACACAGATAGACACACACACAGATAGACACACACACAGACAGACACACACACAGATAGACACAGATAGACACACACAGATAGACACACCACACACACAGATAGACACACACACAGATAGACACACACACAGATAGACACAGATAGACACACAGATACACACACACACAGAGATAGACACACAGATAGACACACACAGATAGACACACAGATAGACACACACACAGATAGACACACACACAGATAGACACACAGATAGACACACAGATAGACACACACACAGATAGACACACAAATAGACACACACACAGATAGACACACACACAGATAGACAAACAGATACACACACAGATAGACACACACAGATAGACACACACAGACACACATACAGATAGACACACACACAGATAGACACACAGATAGACACACAGATAGACACACACACAGATAGACACACAGATAGACACACACACAGATAGACACACACACAGATAGACAAACAGATACACACACACAGATAGACACACACAGATAGACACACACAGACACACACACAGATAGATACACAGACACACGCAGATAGACACACACACAGATAGATACACACACACAGATAAACACACACAGACACACACAGATAGACACATACACAGACACACACACAGATAGACACACACACAGATAGACACACAGATAGACACACACAGACACACACACAGATAGACACACACACAGACACACGCAGATAGACACACACACAGATAGATACACACACAGATAAACACACACAGACACACACAGATAGACACATACACAGACACACACACAGATAGACACACACACAGATAGACACAGATACAGATAGACACACACAGATAGACACACACACAGATAGACACACACACAGACACACACAGATATACACACACAGACACACACACAGACACACACAGATAGACACACAAACACAGATAGACACACACACACAGACACACACAGATAGACACACACAGATAGACACACACAGATAGACACACAGACACCCACCCACCCACTCACCCACCAACCCACCCACCCACCAACTCACTCACCCACCCACCCACCAACTCACCCACCCAACCACCAACTCACTCACCCACCCACCAACCCACTCACTCACCCACCAACCCACCCACCCACTCACCCACCCACTCACCCACTCACCCACCCACCCACTCACCCACCCACCAACCCACCCACTCACCCACCCACCAACTCACTCACCCACCCACCCACCAACTCACTCACCCACCCACTCACCCACCCACCCACTCACCCACCCACCCACCCACCCACTCACTCACCCACCCACCAACTCACCCACCCACCAACTCACCCACCCACCTCCTCACCCACCCACCCAGCCACTCACCCACCCACCCACTCACCCCCCCACCCACCAACCCACCCACCAACTCACTCACCCACCCACCCACCAACTCACTCACCCACCCACCCACTCACCCACCCACCCACTCACCCACCCACCCACTCACCCACCCACCAACTCACCCACCCACCAACTCACCCACCCACCCACTCACCCACCAACCCACTCACCCACCCACCCACTCACCCACCCACCCACCCACTCACCCACCCACCCACCCACCCACCCACCAACTCACTCACCCACCCACTCACCCACCCACCCACTCACCCACCCACCCACTCACTCACTCACCCACCGACTCACCCACCCACCGACTCACCCACCCACCGACTCACCCACCCACCCAGCCACTCACCCACCCACCCACTCACCCACCCACCCACCCACCAACTCACCCACCCACCAACTCACCCACCCACCAACTCACCCACCCACCCAATCACCCACCAACCCACTCACCCACCCACCCACTCACCCACCCACCCACCAACTCATCCACCCACCAACTCACCCACCCACCCACTCATCCACCCACCCACTCACCCACCAACTCACTCACCCACCCACCCACCAACTCACTCACCCACCCACTCACCCACCCACCCACCCACTCACCCACCCACCCACTCACTCACTCACCCACCGACTCACCCACCCACCGACTCACCCACCCACCCAGCCACTCACCCACCTACCCAGCCACTCACCCACCCACCCAGCCACTCACCCACCCACCCACCCACTCACCCCCCCACCCACCAACTCACTCACTCACCCACCCACCCACCAACTCACTCATCCACCCACCCACTCACCCACCCACCCACTCACCCACCCACTCACCCACCCACCCACCAACTCACCCACCCACCAACTCACCCACCCACCAACTCACCCACCCACCAACTCACCCACCCACCCACCCACTCACCCACCCACCCACTCACCCACCAACCCACTCACCCACCCACCCACTCACCCACCCACCAACTCACCCACCCACCCACTCACCCACCCACCAACTCACCCACCCACCCACCCACTCACCCACCCACCAACACACCCACCCACCCACCAACTCACCCACCAACTCACCCACCCACCCACCAACTCACCCACCCACCCACCAACTCACCCACCCACCCACCAACTCACCCACCCACCAACTCACCCACCCACCAACTCACCCACCCACCAACTCACCCACCCACCAACCCACCCACCAACCAACTCACCCACCCACCCACCAACTCACCCACCCACCAACTCACCCACCCACCCGCCCACCAACTCACCCACCCACCCACCAACCCACCAACTCACCAACTAACTCACCCACCAACTCACCAACTAACTCACCCACCAACACACCCACTCACCCACCCACCCACCAACCCACCCACTAACTCACCCACCCACCCACCAACTCACCCACCAACTCACCCACCCACCCACTCACCCACCCACCAACCCACCCACCAACTCACCCACCAACTCACCCACTCACCCACCTACCCACCAACCCACCCAACCACTAACTCACCCACCAACTCACCCACCAACTCACCCACCAACTCACCCACCAACTCACCCACCAACTCACCCACCCACTCACCCACCCACCCACCAACTCACCCACCCACCCACCAACCCACCCACCAACTCACCCACCAACTCACCCACCCACCAACTCACCCACCCACCAACTCACCCACCCACCAACTCACCCACCCACCAACTCACCCACCCACCCACCAACTCACCCACCCACCCACCAACTCACCCACTCACCAACTCACCCACTCACCAACTCACCCACCCACCAACTCACCCACCCACCAACTCACCCACCCACCAACTCACCCACCCACCCACTCACCCACCCACCAACTCACCCACCCACCAACTCACCCACCCACCCACTCACCCACCCACGCCAGCCCCGTCATCTCAGGCCCTCTCAATGCCCGTTCAGCGCCCCCCTGCCCCCGTGGACGACGCTCGTGCCAGGCTAGGTGCACGCTGTCTCTCTCTCTCTGTGCCAGGCTAGGTGCACGCTGCCTCTCTCTCTCTGTGCCAGGCTAGGTGCACGCTGTCTCTCTCTCTCTCTCTCTCTGTGCCAGGCTAGGTGCACGCTGTGTCTCTCTCTGTGCCAGGCTAGGTGTACGCTGTGTCTCTCTCTGTGCCAGGCTAGGTGCACGCTGTGTCTCTCTCTCTCTGTGCCAGGCTAGGTGCACGCTGTGTCTCTCTCTCTGTGCCAGGCTAGGTGCACGCTGTGTCTCTCTCTCTGTGCCAGGCTAGGTGCACGCTGTGTCTCTCTCTCTCTGTGCCAGGCTAGGTGCACGCTGTGTCTCTCTCTCTCTGTGCCAGGCTAGGTGCACGCTGTGTCTCTCTCTCTCTCTCTGTGCCAGGCTAGGTGCACGCTGTGTCTCTCTCTCTCTCTGTGCCAGGCTAGGTGCACGCTGTCTCTCTCTCTCTCTGTGCCAGGCTAGGTGCACGCTGTGTCTCTCTCTCTCTGTGCCAGGCTAGGTGCACGCTGTGTCTCTGTCTCTCTGTGCCAGGCTAGGTGCACGCTGTGTCTCTCTCTCTCTGTGCCAGGCTAGGTGCACGCTGTCTCTCTCTCTCTGTGCCAGGCTAGGTGCACGCTGTGTCTCTCTCTCTCTCTGTGACAGGCTAGGTGCATGCTGTGTCTCTCTCTCTGTGCCAGGCTAGGTGCACGCTGTGTCTCTCTCTCTCTCTGTGACAGGCTAGGTGCATGCTGTGTCTCTCTCTCTGTGCCAGGCTAGGTGCACGCTGTGTCTCTCTCTCTCTCTGTGCCAGGCTAGGTGCACGCTGTGTCTCTCTCTCTCTGTGCCAGGCGAGATGCACGCTGTGTCTCTCTCTCTCTCTGTGCCAGGCTAGGTGCACGCTGTCTCTCTCTCTCTCTCTGTGACAGGCTAGGTGCATGCTGTGTCTCTCTCTCTGTGCCAGGCTAGGTGCACGCTGTGTCTCTCTCTCTCTCTGTGACAGGCTAGGTGCATGCTGTGTCTCTCTCTCTGTGCCAGGCTAGGTGCACGCTGTGTCTCTCTCTCTCTCTCTGTGCCAGGCTAGATGCACGCTGTGTCTCTCTCTCTGTGCCAGGCTAGGTGCACGCTGTGTCTCTCTCTCTCTGTGCCAGACTAGGTGCACGCTGTGTCTCTCTTTCTCCCTGTGACAGGCTAGGTGCACGCTGTGTCTCTCTCTCTGTGCCAGGCTAGGTGCACGCTGTGTCTCTCTCTCACTGTGCCAGGCTAGGTGCATGCTGTCTCTCTCTCTCTCTGTGCCAGGCTAGGTGCACGCTGTGTCTCTCTCTCACTGTGCCAGGCTAGGTGTACGCTGTGTCTCTCTCTCTCTGTGCCAGGCTAGGTGCACGCTGTCTCTCTCTCTGTGCCAGGCTAGGTGCACGCTGTGTCTCTCTCTCTGTGCCAGGCTAGGTGCACGCTGTCTCTCTCTCTCTGTGCCAGGCTAGGTGCACGCTGTGTCTCTCTCTCTGTGCCAGGCTAGGTGCACGCTGTCTCTCTCTCTGTGCCAGGCTAGGTGCACGCTGTGTCTCTCTCTCTCTCTCTGTGCCAGGCTAGGTGCACGCTGTGGCTCTCTCTCTCTCTCTGTGCCAGGCTACGTGCACGCTGTCTCTCTCTCTGTGCCAGGCTAGGTGCACGCTGTGTCTCTCTCTCTCTCTGTGCCAGGCTAGGTGCACGCTGTGTCTCTCTCTCTATGCCAGGCGAGGTGCACGCTGTGTCTCTCTCTCTGTGCCAGGCTAGGTGCACGCTGTCTCTCTCTCTGTGCCAGGCTAGGTGCACGCTGTGTCTCTCTCTCTCTCTCTGTGCCAGGCTAGGTGCACGCTGTGTCTCTCTCTCTCTGTGTGCCAGGCTAGGTGCACGCTGTGTCTCTCTCTCTCTGTGTGCCAGGCTAGGTGCACGCTGTGTCTCTCTCTCTCTGTGTGCCAGGCTAGGTGCATGCTGTGTGTCTCTCTCTCTGTGCCAGGCTAGATGCACGCTGTGTCTCTCTCTCTCTCTGTGCCAGGCTAGGTGCATGCTGTGTCTCTCTCTCTCTGTGCCAGGCTAGGTGCACGCTGTGTCTCTCTCTCTCTGTGCCAGGCTAGGTGCACGCTGTGTCTCTCTCTCTCTCTCTCTCTGTGCCAGGCTAGGTGCACGCTGTGTGTCTCTCTCTCTCTGTGCCAGGCTAGGTGCACGCTGTCTCTCTCTCTCTCTGTGCCAGGCTAGGTGCACGCTGTGTCTCTCCCACTCTGTGCCAGGCTAGGTGCACGCTGTGTCTCTCTCTCTGTGCCAGGCTAGGTGCACGCTGTGTGTCTCTCTCTCTGTGCCAGGCTAGGTGCACGCTGTGTGTCTCTCTCTCTGTGCCAGGCTAGGTGCACGCTGTCTCTCTCTCTCTCTGTGCCAGGCTAGGTGCACGCTGTGTCTCTCTCTCTGTGCCAGGCTAGGAGCACGCTGTGTCTCTCTCTCTCTCTGTGCCAGGCTAGGTGCACGCTGTGCCTCTCTCTCTCTCTGTGCCAGGCTAGGTGCACGCTGTGCCTCTCTCTCTCTCTGTGCCAGGCTAGGTGCACGCTGTGTCTCTCTCTCTGTGCCAGGCTAGGTGCACGCTGTGTCTCTCTCTCTCTGTGCCAGGCTAGGTGCATGCTGTGTCTCTATCTCTGTGCCAGGCTAGGTGCACGCTGTGTCTCTCTCTCTCTGTGCCAGGCTAGGTGCACGCTGTGTGTCTCTCTGTGCCAGGCTAGGTGCACGCTGTGTCTCTCTCTCTCTGTGCCAGGCTAGGTGCACGCTGTGTCTCTCTCTCTGTGCCAGGCTAGGTGCACGCTGTGTCTCTCTCTCTCTGTGCCAGGCTAGGTGCACGCTGTGTCTCTCTCTCTCTGTGCCAGGCTAGGTGCACGCTGTCTCTCTCTCTCTCTGTGCCAGGCTAGGTGCACGCGCTCACCGGCCGGAGAGCGACAAACACCGGGGTAGCCCCGGCCATGCGGACCATCGGCTCGTAGCAGTCGAAGAACGGCTCAATGATGACCACCTGGGCGGGGAAATAACGAGGACTTACCGGCACAGCACCACACCACACCACACCGCACACCACTACACACACTACACTACACACACTACACACACTATACACTACACACACCACACTACACACACTACACTACACACACTACACACACTATACACTACACTACACACTACACTACACACACTACACTACACACACCACACTACACTACACACACTATACACTACACTACACACTACACACACTACACTACACTACACACACCACACTACACTACACACTATACACTACACTACACACTACACTACACACACTACACTACACACACCACACTACACACTACACTACACTACACACACTACACACACCACACTACACTACACACACCACACTACACTACACACACCACACTACACACACTACACTATACACACCACACCACACACACTACACTATACACACCACACTACACTACACACACCACACTACACACACCACACTACACCACACACACTACTACACTATACACACCACACTACACCACACACACTACACTACACACACCACACTACACCACACACACTACGCTACACACACCACACTACACACGCCACACTACACACACCACACTACACACACCACACTACACACACCACACCACACTACACACACCACACTACACACACACTACACTACACACACCACACTACACACACACTACACTACACACACCACACTACACACACCACACCACACTACACACACCACACTACACACACCACACCACACTACACACTACACACACACTACACTACACACACCACACTACACACACCACACCACACTACACACACCACACCACACACACCACACCACACTACACACACCACACTACACACACCACACCACACTACACACACCACACCACACTACACACACCACACTACACACACCACACTACACACGCCACACTACACACACCACACTACACACACCACACTACACACACCACACTACACACACCACACACACCACACTACACACACCACACTACACACACCACACTACACACACCACACCACACTACACACACCACACTACACACACCACACTACACACACCACACTACACACACCACACACACCACACTACACACACCACACTACACACACCACACTACACACACCACACCACACTACACACACCACACTACACACACCACACCACACTACACACACCACACCACACTACACACACCACACTACACACACCACACTACACACGCCACACTACACACACCACACTACACACACCACACTACACACACCACACTACACACACCACACCACGCTACACAGACCACACTACACCATACACACTACACACACCACACTACACACACCACGCTACACTACACTACACACACCACACTACACACACCACACTACACACACACACACTAAACCACACACACACCACACACACCACACTACACACACCACACACACCACACTACACACACCACACTACACACACCACACTACACACACCACACCACACACACCACACTACACCACACACACCACACACACCACACTACACACACCACACTACACACACCACACTACACACACCACACTACACACACCACACACCACACACACCACACTACACACACCACACACACCACACTACACCACACACGCCACACACACCACACTACACACACCACACTACACACACTACACACACCACACTACACACACTACACACACCACACTACACACACCACACTACACACACCACACTACACACTACACACACCACACTACACACACCACACTACACACACCACACTACACACTACACACACCACACTACAGGGTTATGGAGGTGGGGGTCGGGGGTGGTGGGGGCTGTTTCGGGGAGGGGGGTCATGGGGGGGCCACGGGGGGGGTCATGGAGGGGTCAGGGGGGGGGGTCAGGGAGGGGTCAGGAGGGGTCAAGGGGGGGTCAGGGGGGCCCCCACCTCGTCTCCGTGCTGCACCAGGGCCTGAACACAGCAGAAGAGAGCTCCGTAGCCCCCGACGGAGACCAGCAAGTTGGACTCCGGGTCGAGCTCCCGGCCGTGGACACCGGAGTAGAGGGTGGAGAGGGCACGTACCAGAGCTGGGTGGCCCTGGGCACAGAGATACATAGAGATAGAAAGATATACATAGAGATACAGAGAGATACAGAGAGAGAGATACATATAGATAGAGAGATACATAGAGATACAGAGAGATATACATAGAGATATACATAGAGATACATAGAGACATAGAGAGATAGATAGAGATATACATAGAGATATACATAGAGATACAGAGAGATACATAGAGATATACATAGAGATAGAGAGATACAGAGAGAGAGAGATACATATAGATAGATACATAGAGATACATAGAGATATACATAGAGATACAGAGAGATACATAGAGATACAGAGAGATACAGAGAGATATACATAGAGATATACATAGAGATACATAGAGACATAGAGAGATGCATAGAGATACATAGAGATATACATAGAGATACAGAGAGATACATATAGATAGAGAGATACATAGAGATATACATAGAGATATACATAGAGATAGAGAGATACATAGAGATATACATAGAGATATACATAGAGATACAGAGAGATACATAGAGATATACATAGAGATATACATAGAGATACATAGAGATAGAGAGATACATAGAGATAGATAGACATAGATAGAGAGATACATAGAGATAGAGAGATACATAGAGACAGTGTGGTGTGTGTAGTGTGGTGTGTGTAGTGTAGTGTGTGTAGTGTGGTGTGTGTAGTGTAGTGTGTGTAGTGTGGTGTGTGTAGTGTAGTGTGTGTAGTGTGGTGTGTGTAGTGTGTGGTGTGGTGTGTGTAGTGTAGTGTGTGTAGTGTAGTGTGTGTAGTGTGGTGTGTGTGGTGTGGTGTGTGTAGTGTGGTGTGTGTAGTGTGGTGTGTGTAGTGTGGTGTGTGTAGTGTAGTGTGTGTAGTGTGGTGTGTGTAGTGTGTGTAATGTGGTGTGTGTAGTGTGGTGGGTGTAGTGTGGTGTGTGTGGTGTGGTGTGTGTAGTGTGGTGTGTGTAGTGTGGTGTGTGTAGTGTGGTGTGTGTAGTATGGTGTGTGTAGTGTGGTGTGTGTAGTGTGGTGTGTGTAGTGTGGTGTGTGTGGTGTGGTGTGTGTAGTGTGGTGTGTGTAGTGTGGTGTGTGTAGTGTGGTGTGGTGTGTGTAGTGTGGTGTGTGTAGTGTGTGTAGTGTGGTGTGTGTAGTGTGGTGTGTGTAGTGTGGTGTGTGTGGTGTGTGTAGTGTGGTGTGTGTAGTGTGGTGTGTGTGTGGTGTGTGTAGTGTGGTGTGTGTAGTGTGGTGTGTGTAGTGTGGTGTGTGTAGTGTGTGTAGTGTGGTGTGGTGTGGTGTGTGTGGTGTGTGTGGTGTAGTGTGTGTAATGTGGTGTGTGTAGTGTGGTGTGTGTAGTGTGGTGTGTGTAGTGTGGTGTGTGTAGTGTGGTGTGTGTGGTGTGGTGTGTGTGGTGTGGTGTGTGGTGTGGTGTGTGTGGTGTGGTGTGTGTAGTGTGGTGTGTGTAGTGTGGTGTGTGTAGTGTGGTGTGTGTAGTGTGGTGTGTGTAGTGTGGTGTGTGTAGTGTGGTGTGTGTGGTGTGGTGTGTGTAGTGTGGTGTGTGTAGTGTGGTGTGTGTAGTGTAGTGTGTGTAGTGTGGTGTGTGTAGTGTGGTGTGTGTAATGTGGTGTGTGTAGTGTGGTGGGTGTAGTGTGGTGTGTGTAGTGTGGTGTGTGTAGTGTGGTGTGTGTAGTGTGGTGTGTGTAGTGTGGTGTGTGTAGTGTGGTGTGTGTAGTGTGGTGTGTGTGGTGTGGTGTGTGTAGTGTGGTGTGTGTAGTGTGGTGTATGTAGTGTGGTGTGGTGTGTGTAGTGTGGTGTGTGTAGTGTGTGTAGTGTGTGTAGTGTGGTGTGTGTAGTGTGGTGTGTGTAGTGTGGTGTGTGTAGTGTGGTGTGTGTGGTGTGTGTAGTGTGGTGTGTGTAGTGTGGTGTGTGTGGTGTGTGTAGTGTGGTGTGTGTAGTGTGGTGTGTGTAGTGTGGTGTGTGTAGTGTGTGTAGTGTGGTGTGGTGTGGTGTGTGTGGTGTGGTGTGTGTGGTGTAGTGTGTGTAGTGTGGTGTGTGTAGTGTGGTGTGTGTAGTGTGGTGTGTGTAGTGTGGTGTGTGTAGTGTGGTGTGTGTGGTGTGGTGTGTGTAGTGTGGTGTGTGTAGTGTGGTGTATGTAGTGTGGTGTGGTGTGTGTAGTGTGGTGTGTGTAGTGTGTGTAGTGTGTGTAGTGTGGTGTGTGTAGTGTGGTGTGTGTAGTGTGGTGTGTGTAGTGTGGTGTGTGTGGTGTGTGTAGTGTGGTGTGTGTAGTGTGGTGTGTGTGGTGTGTGTAGTGTGGTGTGTGTAGTGTGGTGTGTGTAGTGTGGTGTGTGTAGTGTGTGTAGTGTGGTGTGGTGTGGTGTGTGTGGTGTGGTGTGTGTGGTGTAGTGTGTGTAGTGTGGTGTGTGTAGTGTGGTGTGTGTAGTGTGGTGTGTGTGGTGTGGTGTGTGTGGTGTGTGTGGTGTGTGTGGTGTGGTGTGTGTGGTGTGGTGTGTGTAGTGTGGTGTGTGTAGTGTGGTGTGTGTAGTGTGGTGTGTGTAGTGGTGTGTGTAGTGTGGTGTGTGTAGTGTGGTGTGTGTGTGGTGTGGTGTGTGTAGTGTGGTGTGTGTAGTGTGGTGTGTGTAGTGTGGTGTGTGTAGTGTGGTGTGTGTAGTGGTGTGTGTAGTGTGGTGTGTGTAGTGTGGTGTGTGTAGTGTGGTGTGTGTAGTGGTGTGTGTAGTGTGGTGTGTGTAGTGTGGTGTGTGTAGTGGACACCAGAGTAGAGGGTGGAGAGGGCACGCACCAGAGCTGGGTGGCCCTGGGTACGGAGAGAGATAGACAGAGAGGGAGATAGATAGAGAGAGATAGAGAGAGAGACAGAGGGAGATAGATAGACATAGAGCGAGAGAGTGAATGAGTGAGCGAGTGAGCGAATGAGTGAGTGAGTGAATGAATGAGTGAGTGAACGAGTGAGTGAACGAGTGAACGAGTGAATGAATGAGTGAACGTGCACGTACGAAGCTGCGTGTGTACTGCTGCATGAGCGAGTGAATGAGTGAATGAGTGAGTGAATGAGTGAGTGAGTGAGTGAATGAGTGAGTGAGTGAGTGAATGAGTGAATGAGTGAGTGAGTGAGTGAACGAGTGAGCTAGTGAGTAAGTGAGTGAGTGAGTAAGTAAGTGAGTAAGTGAGTAAGTAAGTAAGTGAATGAGTGAGTAAGTAAGTGAATGAGTGAACGAGTGAGTGAGTGAGTGAATAAGTGAATGAGTGAGTGAATGAGTGAATGAGTGATGGAATGAGTGAGTGAATGAGTGAACGTGCACGCACGAAGCTGCGTGTGTACTGCTGCATGAGCGAGCGAGTGAGTGAGTGAATGAATGAGTGAATGAGTGAGTGAATGAGTGAGTGAATGAGTGAACGTGCACGCACGAAGCTGCGTGTGTACTGCTGCATGAGCGAGCGAGTGAGTGAGTGAGTGAATGAGTGAGTGAATGAGTGAGTGAATGAGTGAGTGAATGAGTGAATGAGTGAGTGAGTGAGTGAATGAGTGAGTGAGTGAATGAATGAGTGAATGAACGAGTGAACGCGTGAATGAATGAGTGACCGTGCACGCACGAAGCTGCGTGTGTACTGCTGCATGAGCGAGCGAGTGAGTGAATGAGTGAGTGAATGAGTGAATGAATGAGTGAACGAATGAGTGAATGAGTGAGTGAATGAATGAGTGAGTGAGTGAGTGAGTGAATGAATGAGTGAGTCAGTGAGTGAACGAGTGAACGAGTGAGTGAGTGAGTGAATTAATGAGTGAATGAATGAATGAGTGAATGAATGAATGAGTGAATGAATGAATGAATGAGTGAACGTGCACGCACGAAGCTGCGTGTGTACTGCTGCATGAGCGAGCGAGTGAGTGAATGAGTGAGTGAATGAGTGAATGAATGAGTGAACGAATGAGTGAATGAGTGAGTGAATGAATGAGTGAGTGAGTGAATGAATGAGTGAGTCAGTGAGTGAACGAGTGAGTGAGTGAGTGAGTGAATTAATGAGTGAGTGAATGAATGAGTGAATGAGTGAATGAATGAGTGAATGAATGAACGAATGAGTGAACGTGCACGCACGAAGCTGCGTGTGTACTGCTGCATGAGCGAGTGAGTGAATGAGTGAGTGAATGAATGAGTGAATGAGTGAGTGAATGAGTGAGTGAGTGAATGAATGAGTGAATGAATGAGTGAATGAGTGAGTGAATGAGTGAGTGAATGAATGAGTGAATGAGTGAGTGAATGAGTGAGTGAATGAATGAGTGAATGAACGAGTGAATGAATGAATGAATGAATGAACGAGTGAATGAGTGAATGAATGAGTGAATGAGTGAATGAGTGAATGAATGAGTGAATGAGTGAACGAATGAGTGAACGTGCACGCACGAAGCTGCGCGTGTACTGCTGCATGAGCGGCTCCGGGCTGAGAGCACACTCCGCCAGTGCCCGCGTCACCGACTCCGGCGCCGCGAAGTCCGGGAAGCCCTGGCCCAGGTTCACCGAGGGGTAGTCCCTGGCCAGCTTCACAAACTCCACCCTGCCACCGGCACGACGACACCACGACGACACCAACACCACCAAGGGGTCAATACCACCACCAACACCACCGGAACCACACCACGACGACACCAACACCACCAAGGGGTCAATACCACCACCACCACCACCGGAACCACACCACGACAACACCAACACCAACACCGCCGGGTCATCACCGTGACATCACCGTGTCATCACCGTGTCATCACCGTGTCATCACCGTGACATCATCGTGTCATCACCGTGTCATCACCGTGACATCACCGTGTCATCACCGTGACATCACCGTGACATCACCGTGACATCACCGTGTCATCACCGTGTCATTCACTAACCTATTCACCGGTACGCTAACAGCATTTGCCCATACAGCCTGTTCAGGCTGGGTGGGTGGGTGGCTGGGTGGGTGGCTGGGTGGGTGGCTGGGTGGGTGGGTGGCTGGGTGGGTGGGTGGGTGGCTGGGTGGGTGGGTGGGTGGCTGGGTGGGTGGCTGGGTGGGTGGGTGGCTGGGTGGGTGGGTGGCTGGGTGGATGGGTGGGTGGCTGGGTGGGTGGGTGGCTGGGTGGGTGGGTAGCTGGGTGGGTGGGTGGGTAGCTGGGTGGTGGGTGGGTGGGCAGCTGGCTGGGTGGGTGGCTGGCTGGGTGGGTGGCTGGCTGGGTGGGTGGCTAGCCGGGTGTGTCTGTGTGTGTGTAGCGGTTAGCGCTACACTGCGCTATGAACCTGGCGACCCGGGTTTGACTCCCGCTCACGGCCAACACCAGTGACGATTATCTGAACCGGTCCCGGGCCTCCCCTAGGTCGACTCAGCCTCAACTGAGTACCTGGTGCTGTGTGTGAACATCGCCACTAGGGAGACAAAGGCGGTCGGGCGTGGTGCTGGCCACCCACCCCCTCGTGTACCGTTCCGGCCTTCATAGGTGCTCGCTAACAGCACTTGCCCCTACAGTATGTTACAGGCTATATGGGGGATCTTTGTCTTTGTGTCTGTGTGTGTGTCTGTGTTTGTGTGTCTGTGTGTGTGTCTGTGTGTGTGTCTGTGTGTGTGTGTCTGTGTGTGTGTGTCTGTGTGTGTGTCTGTCTGTGTGTCTGTGTGTGTGTCTGTGTGTGTCTGTGTGTGTGTCTGTGTGTGTGTGTGTCTGTGTGTGTGTGTGTCTGTGTGTGTGTCTGTGTGTGTGTGTGTATGTGTGTGTCTGTGTGTGTGTCTGTGTGTGTGTGTGTGTCTGTGTGTGTGTCTGTGTGTGTGTGTGTCTGTGTGTGTGTGTGTCTGTGTGTGTGTCTGTGTGTGTGTGTGTATGTGTGTGTCTGTGTGTGTGTGGGCGTACCGAGTGACATAGGAGATTGCAGAGCAACCCAATGCCACTCACCACTCACCGCACGACTCACCGCACCACTCACCGCACCACTCACCGCACCACTCACCGCACCACACCACTCACCGCACCACTCACCGCACCACTCACCGCACCACTCACCGCACCACTCACCGCACCACTCACCACACCACTCACCACACCACTCACCACACCACATCACTCACCACTCACCACACCACTCACCACACCACTCACCACACCACTCACCACACCACTCACCACTCACCACACCACACCACTCACCACACAACTCACCACACCACACCACTCACCACACCACTCACCACACCACTCACCACACCACACACCACACCACACCACTCACCACACCACAACACACACCACTCACCACACCACACACCACACCACTCACCACACCACACACCACTCACCACACCACACACCACACACCACTCACCACACCACTCACCGCACCACTCACCACACCACTCACCGCACCACTCACCACACCACTCACCACACCACACACCACACCACACACCACACCACACACCACACACCACTCACCACACCACTCACCACACACCACTCACCACACCACTCACCGCACCACTCACCGCACCACTCACCACACCACTCACCACACACCACACCACACCACTCACCACACCACTCACCACACCACTCACCATACACCACACACCACACCACTCACCACACCACTCACCACACCACTCACCACACCACTCACCACACCACACCACTCACCACACCACTCACCACACCACTCACCACACCACACACCACACCACACACCACACACCACTCACCACACCACTCACCACACCACTCACCACACCACTCACCACACCACTCACCACACCACACACCACTCACAACACCACTCACCACACCACTCACCACACCACTCACCACACCACTCACCACACCACTCACCACACCACTCACCACACCACTCACCACACCACTCACCACACCCCACACCACACACCACACCACACACCACTCACCACACCACACCACACCACTCACCACACCACTCACCACACCACACACCACACCACTCACCACACCACTCACCACACCACTCACCACACCACTCACCACACCACTCACCACACCACACACCACTCACCACACCACACCACACACCACTCACCACACCACTCACCACACACCACACCACACACCACACACCACACCACTCACCACACCACTCACCACTCACCACACCACACCACACACCACTCACCACACCACTCACCACACCACTCACCACACACCACACCACTCACCACACCACACCACTCACCACACCACACACCACACCACACACCACTCACCACACCACTCACCACACCACTCACCACTCACCACACCACTCACCATACGTTCTTGTCCAGCCCATCGATGCGCTGTGCGTTGGTGTGTCGCGACATGGTCACCTTGCAGGGGTCACACCACACCAGAAGGCCACAACGTCAACAACAACAACAACCACCACCAGCATCATCATCATCATCACCATCACTTTGCTCGTGATCAACCAGGCTATGCGTTAACTGTGTGTTAGCCGACTCTCAAACTATTTCTCTCGCTCTAAACATGTTGTTACGAGGCCCTCTCATTGGGCCATTCTGCCTTCTTTCCCTCGTTTGGCTTCGGGGGTGGATTTCCACTCAACTCTCTCTCGAGAACGTGCCACTCTTGCTGGGTCTTTCATTGACATACTGATGCCTCTGCTACAGCAGACCCAACTCTCTCTCTCTATCTATGTATGGAAGGCCTCAACACAGAGGTATTGGGTCTCTGTGTGTCTGTGTTGTGTGTGTATCTGTGTGTGTCTGTGTTGTGTGTCTATCTGTGTGTGTCCGTGTTGTGTGTCTCTCTGTGTGTCTATGTTGTGTCTCTCTGTGTGTGTCTGTGTTGTGTGTCTCTCTGTGTCTGTGTTGTGTGTCTCTCTCTGTGTGTCTGTGTTGTGTGTCTCTCTCTGTGTGTCTCTGTGTGTCTGTGTTGTGTCTCTGTGTGTCTCTGTGTGTCTCTCTCTGTGTGTCTGTGTTGTGTGTCTCTGTGTGTCTATGTTGTGTGTCTCTCTCTGTGTCTGTGTTGTGTGTCTCTCTGTGTGTCTGTGTCTGTGTGTCTCACTCTGTGTGTCTGTGTTGTGTGTCTGTGTTGTCTCTCTGTGTGTGTCTCTGTGTGTGTCTCTCTCTCTCTCTCTCTGTGTTGTGTCTCTCTGTGTGTCTCTGTGTTGTGTCTCTCTCTGTGTCTGTGTTGTGTGTCGCTCTCTGTGTGTCTGTGTTGTGTGTGTCTCTCTGTGTGTCTATGTTGTGTGTATCTCTCTGTGTCTGTGTTGTGTGTCTCTGTGTGTGTCTGTGTTGTGTGTCTCTCTGTGTCTGTGTTGTGTCTCTCTGTGTGTGTCTGTGTTGTCTCTCTGTGTGTCTGTGTTGTGTGTCTCTCTGTGTGTGTCTGTGTTGTCTCTCTGTGTGTCTGTGTTGTGTGTCTCTCTGTGTGTCTGTGTTGTGTGTCTCTATGTGTGTCTGTGTTGTGTCTCTCTCTGTGTGTCTGTGTGTTGCGTGTCTCTGTGTCTCTGTGTGTCTCTCTGTGTCTGTGTTGTATCTCTGTGTGTCTCTGTGTTGTCTCTCTTTCTGTCTGTGTTGTGTGTCTCTCTCTGTGTGTCTGTGTTGTGTGTCTCTCTCTGTGTGTCTCTGTGTCTCTCTGTGTGTCTGTGTTGTCTCTCTCTATCTCTGTGTTGTGTGTGTCTCTGTGTGTCTGTGTTGTGTGTCTCTCTGTGTGTGTCTGTGTTGTGTGTGTCTCTCTGTGTGTCTGTGTTGTGTGTCTCTCTGTGTGTGTCTGTGTTGTGTGTCTCTGTGTGTGTCTGTGTTGTGTGTGTCTCTCTGTGTGTCTGTGTTGTCTCTCTCTGTCTGTGTTGTGTGTCTCTCTGTGTGTCTCTGTTGTGTCTCTCTGTGTCTGTGTTGTGTGTCTCTCTGTGTGTCTGTGTTGTCTCTCTCTGTCTGTGTTGTGTGTCTCTCTCTGTGTGTCTGTGTTGTGTTGTGTGTGTCTATCTGTGTGTCTATGTTGTGTGTTTCTCTGTGTGTCTGTGTGTTGTGTGTCTCTGTGTGTCTGTGTTGTCTCTCTGTGTGTCTCTGTGTTGTCTCTCTGTGTGTCTGTGTTGTGTCTCTGTGTGTCTGTGTTGTGTCTCTCTCTGTGTGTCTGTGTGTTGTGTCTCTGTGTGTCTCTCTGTGTGTCTCTCTGTGTGTCTCTGTGTTGTCTCTCTGTGTGTCTGTGTTGTCTCTCTGTGTGTCTGTGTTGTCTCTCTGTGTGTCTGTGTTGTCTCTCTGTGTGTCTCTGTGTTGTCTCTCTGTGTGTCTGTGTTGTGTGTGTCTCTCTGTGTGTCTCTGTGTCTGTGTTGTCTCTCTCTCTGTGTCTGTGTTGTCTCTCTGTCTGTGTTGTGTCTCTCTCTGTGTGTCTGTGTTGTGTGTCTCTCAATGTGTGTCTGTGTTGTCTCTCTCTCTGTGTCTCTGTGTCTCTCTCTGTGTCTGTGTTGTCTCTCTGTGTGTCTCTCTGTGTGTCTGTGTTGTGTCTCTCTCTGTGTCTCTGTGTTGTGTCTCTCTGTGTGTCTGTGTGTGTCTCTCTGTGTGTCTATGTTGTGTGTCTCTCTGTGTCTCTGTGTCTGTGTTGTCTCTGTCTGTGTTGTGTGTCTCTCTCTGTGTGTCTGTGTGTCTCTCTGTGTGTCTATGTTGTGTGTCTCTCTGTGTGTCTGTGTTGTGTGTGTCTCTCTGTGTGTCTGTGTTGTGTGTCTCTCTCTGTGTCTCTCTCTGTGTGTCTATGTTGTGTGTCTCTCTGTGTGTCTGTGTTGTGTGTCTCTCTCTGTGTGTCTGTGTTGTCTCTTTCTCAGTGTGTCTGTGTTATCTCTCTCTCTGTGTCTGTGTTGTGTCTCTCTCTGTGTGTCTGTGTTGTGTCTCTCTCTGTGTCTCTGTGTTGTGTGTCTCTCTCTGTGTGTCTGTGTCTCTGTGTGTGTCTCTGTGTCTCTGTGTCTCTCTCTGTGTGTCTTTTCTCTACGCTTGCGAAACGTGGACCCCCTTAATGGAACATCTTCGCCGGTTAGAAACATTTAGGCTGGCCTGCCTACGATCCATCCTGGGTTTAGCCAGGCTGGATTGTGTGAGCTCACAAATCCTTGAAAGATCTGGGCAAGGTCCCATCGGTGAGCTCCTCTGGCAGGCAAGGCTGCGATGGCTGGGTCATGTAGCCCGCATGCCCAGCCACCGCATGCCGAAAAAGCTTTTGTTCGGCCGGATCGAGGGAGCGCGGCACGGGCTAGAGAAGAGATGGAGTGATGTGGTACAGGAGGACGTGGAGCTGAGTGGACTTGCCGATGACTGGTACCAGCGGTGTCAAGATCGGCCTCTGTGGAGGAGGCTCGTGAAGGACGCTGCTACTGGGCAGTTGGAGGCAGTCGCCCTCCAACAACAACGGAGGGCGGAGGAGTGACGCTCACAACAACGAGCGGAGCGCCGGGTGGCTAAAGCACAGCATGTTGGCACAGTAGGGGGCACAGGTGGTGCATCAGCCAGTCATCTCAGTCAGTCGACCCGTGGCACCTGGGTCTGCCCCGTGATCTCCTGCCAGCGGGCGTTCGACACTTCACGTGGCCTCAGGGTGAACATAGCCTGGCACAAGCGTCGTGGTGACGTCACCGCCACTTAGTGGCGAATGGCGGTTGTTGTTGTTGTCTATGTGTGTCTCTGTGTGTCTCTCTGTGTCTGTGTGTCTCCGTGTCTGTGTTTTGTCTCTCAAATTTAGTTCGACCAGATGATGGTACACAACACATGTACACGTGTACACATGTATACACGTGTACACAACACGTGTACACAGCACAAAACACATCACACACGGCACAAAACACACAATGATAGGAGTGTAACATACATAAAAAGGTCTCTACGTGTCTATGGGTCTCTATGTATCTCTACGTGTCTATGTATCTCTACGTGTCTATGGGTCTCTATGTATCTCTACGTGTCTATGGGTCTCTATGTATCTCTACGTGTCTATGGGTCTCTATGTATCTCTACGTGTCTATGGGTCTATATGTGTTTCTACGTGTCTATGGGTCTCTATGTATCTCTACGTGTCTATGGGTCTCTGTGTATCTCCACGTGTCTATGGGTCTCTATGTATCTCTACGTGTCTATGGGTCTCTATGTATCTCTATGGGTCTCTATGTATCTCTACGTGTCTATGGGTCTATATGTATCTCTACGTGTCTATGGGTCTCTATGTATCTCTACATGTCTATGGGTCTCTATGTATCTCTACGTGTCTATGGGTCTCTGTGTATCTCTACGTGTCTATGGGTCTCTATGTATCTCTGCGTGTCTATGGGTCTCTGTGTATCTCTACGTGTCTATGGGTCTCTGTGTATCTCTACGTGTCTATGGGTCTCTATGTATCTCTACGTGTCTATGTATCTCTACGTGTCTATGGGTCTCTATGTATCTCTACGTGTCTATGGGTCTCTGTGTATCTCTACGTGTCTATGGGTCTCTGTGTATCTCTACGTGTCTATGGGTCTCTATGTATCTCTACGTGTCTATGGGTCTCTATGTATCTCTACGTGTCTATGGGTCTCTGTGCATCTCTACGTGTCTATGGGTCTCTATGTATCTCTACGTGTCTATGGGTCTCTGGTCTCTATGTATCTCTACGTGTCTATGGGTCTCTGTGTATCTCTACGTGTTTATGGGTCTCTGTGTATCTCTACGTGTCTATGGGTCTCTGTGTATCTCTACGTGTCTATGGGTCTCTATGTATCTCTACGTGTCTATGGGTCTCTATGTATCTCTACGTGTCTATGGGTCTCTGTGTATCTCTACGTGTCTGTGGGTCTCTATGTATCTCTACGTGTCTATGGGTCTCTGTGTATCTCTACGTGTCCGTGGGTCTCTATGTATCTCTACGTGTCTATGTATCTCTACGTGTCTTTGGGTCTCTATGCGTCTCTACGTGTCTATGGGTCTCTATGTATCTCTATGTATCTCTATGGGTCTCTGTGTATCTCTACGTGTCTATGGGTCTCTATGTATCTCTACGTGTCTATGTATCTCTACGTGTCTATGGGTATCTGTGTATCTCTACGTGTCTGTGGGTCTCTATGGATCTCTACGTGTCTATGTATCTCTACGTGTCTATGGGTCTCTATGTGTCTCTACGTGTCTATGGGTCTCTATGCATCTCTATGGGTCTCTGTGTATCTCTACGTGTCTGTGGGTCTCTATGGATCTCTACGTGTCTATGTATCTCTACGTGTCTATGGGTCTCTATGTGTCTCTACGTGTCTATGGGTCTCTATGTATCTCTATGTATCTCTATGGGTCTCTGTGTATCTCTACGTGTCTATGGGTCTCTATGTATCTCTACGTGTCTATGGGTCTCTATGTATCTCTACGTGTCTATGGGTCTCTATGTATCTCTATGGGTCTCTGTGTATCTCTACGTGTCTATGGGTCTCTATGTATCTCTACGTGTCTATGTATCTCTACGTGTCTATGGGTCTCTATGTATCTCTACGTGTCTATGGGTCTCTATGTATCTCTACGTGTCTATGGGTCTCTATGTATCTCTATGGGTTTCTGTGTATCTCTACGTGTCTATGGGTCTCTATGTATCTCTACGTGTCTATGGGTCTCTATGTATCTCTACGTGTCTATGGGTCTCTATGTATCTCTATGGGTCTCTGTGTATCTCTACGTGTCTATGGGTCTCTATGTATCTCTACGTGTCTATGTATCTCTACGTGTCTATGGGTCTCTATGTATCTCTACGTGTCTATGGGTCTCTATGTATCTCTACGTGTCTATGGGTCTCTATGTATCTCTATGGGTTTCTGTGTATCTCTACGTGTCTATGGGTCTCTATGTATCTCTACGTGTCTATGGGTCTCTATGTATCTCTACGTGTCTATGGGTCTCTATGTATCTCTATGGGTCTCTGTGTATCTCTACGTGTCTATGGGTCTCTGTGTAGCTCGGTGGTGTTGGGGGAGGGGGACGTTGACATTCGGTAAAAGACACAAAAAGAAAAATGGCACGAGACAGACAAAAAAATAAAAAATATATATGTTTTTAAAATAATCTACAAAGTGTTGCAAACTTTCGCGTGCATCCTGGGCGCTGCGCAAAGCGGTGTGGGTCTGCCTGTACCCCTTGCAGAGTAGAGAAGGATGACGAGGATGAGGAGGAGGATGATGAGGAGGAGGATGATGAGGAGAGGAGTGAGGAGGGCCTCCTCTGACACCAGAGCCGAGACGGCGATGCCAAAAAAGTCGCCGCTCTGATCCACGAAGTCATGATCGAGGGCTCGGCGGAAATAGCCCCGCCCCCTCAGGGTTGCCACGCCCCCCCCGGGGTCGCCTCGCTCCCGTTAACACCGCCAGCCCCGCCCACCCGGCCCCTCCAACCAACGGCAGCGACGCCCCCGCCCCCCCCCCCTGGTCGCCCCGCCCCCTAGAGTCGCCCCACCCCCCCGGGTCGCCCCGCCCCCCCGGGTCGCCCCGCCCCACCCCCCCGGGTCGCCCGGCCCCCTCCCCCGGGGTCGCCTCGCTCCCGTTAACACCGCCAGCCCCGCCCACCCGGCCCCTCCAACCAACGGCAGCGACGCCCCCGCCCCCCCCCGGGTCGCCCCGCCCCCCCGGGTCGCCCCGCCCCACCCCCCCGGGTCGCCCGGCCCCCTCCCCCGGGGTCGCCTCGCTCCCGTTAGCACCGCCAGCCCCGCCCACCCCGCCCCTCCAACCAACGGCAGCGACGCCCCAGCCAAACCCCGCCCACCCCGCCACTGCAACCAATGCCAGCCCCGCCCCCGCCAACCTCGTCAGCCACGCCCACCTCCCCCCGTCCCTTACCCGCTCACCCCGCCCCGCTGACCCCATCCCCACCCGCAAGTCATTTCCGCTTCATCCGGCGGACGTGACGTCAAGCGGCATTGCCAATATGGCCGCGCCCATGGAGGGAGGGGAGGGTCTCATGGTCTATTTAAATACAGTACATTACAGTACTGTACATTGTTTTGAATCTTCACTCGAAGCTTTCCTAACTGCAGAAAGTAATATTCTTGGGTCTTTCGGTAAAGTCACGGAGATAGGTTCAAAGAAAGAATATAAACTACGCCCACCGATTGCGTGGTTTTCTGTTATTTTTATTATTTTTTTGAACATATCTACGTTAAATTTTGATATAAAGCTTTCGTGACTGCAGGGATTCATATTCTTGGTTCTTATTTTATATTTTTATTGTTTTATTGTTTCCCTTCTACGTGACTTTACCGAAAGAACCAAGAATATATATCTACGTTACTTTACCAAAAGAACCAATAAGTTTTGTACCGACTTACGAACACCTCGACTTACAAACACCTCGACTTACAAATACCTCGACTTATGACCACATCGACTTACAGGCACTTCCACTGAAAAAAGGCGCTTCGACTTACGAACACCTCGACTTACAAACACCTCGACTTATGACCACATCGACTTACAGGCACTTCCACTGAAAAAAGGCGCTTCGACTTACGAACACCTCCACTTACGAACGGACCCCGGGAACGAATGCAGAATCAGAAATATGTTTTATTTATACTGCAGCAGGAGGAATCCGAAGGGCCATGAAGCTCTTTTAACTCACAGACCTGTGCAGTAGCGGGCCACGGGGTAAGAACGTGACAATAACAACCACAGTGACACAAACACCGATAGCCGTGGTGCAAAGTCCAAGACGGGTTAAACATATCACCCAGACACTCGCAAGTACAACACTCATCCACCCACCCCCCCCCATCCTACCACTGAACTTTGTAACTTATCTCTCAGAAGCGACCCTGCACACCTACAAATGGATAACCAGCCACTCACAAAGTGGCTAAATCGTCACCATCATCATCATCGTCGTCGTGTGGACATCTACTCCAGCGCTGTCCTCCAGACAGCCTGGACCCTTCACCTGATGAAGGCCGCTTGTGTTGTGGCCGAAACGTCGTGATTTTTGTCGTTTTATTTTTTTACCTACGCGACGTTAACCGAATAGAACCAAAGAGTGTGGATCCTCGCAGTCACGAAAGCTTCAAATCTAGAAATCTGCAGCAGCACAGCGATCGAAAAACTCTATTGTATTCATGACTGCGGGAGAAAATCTGGGGAGGGGGGGGAGGGGGGTGGTGTAAGGGGACAATCTGCGGTGCCGCAGCCACGGAGCCGCTCCCGTCTGGGCCGTGCCCATCGCCGTGACGCCGCCCCCAAGGAGCGACGGCACCGGAACGCCGCTCGCCGTCCCACGAAAGGCCCGAAGGGGGGAGTCACCTTGCCGGCGGGTTTTCGTACGGAAGCCCCCGACGGGATCAAGCTCCCGTGGTTTCCCACGGCCGGGGAACTGGGCGAACCCGCCCCCGAGGCTGACGTGCCCCGCAGCGCCGTGACCTGGGAGTGCAATCGCGCGGTCACGGCAGCGGCGGTTGAGCCGCCGCGGGTGGAAACGCAACAACGCAGCGCGGGTCAAGCGGGCCGGTAGCGGGAGGAGCAGAAAAGCGGACGTCGAGGGGGACCACCGCGGTGACGTCACCAGAGCCGGGATCCGACTGTCAAAAGAGCGGGAAAATCCGGGCCCCTGATTGGACGGGAGGCCAGCGGGGGGGGGGGGGCCGGGCAGCGCGGTGCCCTTTGATGTGAGGGAGAACGATAAAAGGGGGTGAAACCAGGGAGTGACGGGGTAGTGTTCCTCAAGGCATCGAGATCAGCGGGGTGTTGGAGCCAGCCAGGCCCAATTCTCCACGGAGACGACGCCCGGCATCGCCCTTCCGCAGCTTCCGGCGCATCGGAGTGGGAGCAAGCGTAAGCGAGGGAGAGGTGACTTTGGGCTAAATAACCACGGCAGAATAAGGGAGCGCCCGGCCGGATAGGTTGCGAGAGGTAGGTCAGGGTTAAGTCCCGGTCAACCGAGGGATAGACTAGCGTCCGCTGACCCACGTTGGCACCCTGAGCTACGTCGGATTTGTTGCGGAGAAATAATTCGCCAGGAGAGCATAAACCGTGTCGTGTGGTCTCTGTGAGCGCGGGAAGGAGGGCGGAGTGTCGTTGGTCGGGTCACCGGGGCGCGCGGTAACTGCATCCGACCGTTCGGTAGAGCGCCTGGTGTCCGCGTGCTCGCGCGGCTGTTTTAAAACGGCCCTTTAAATCGGGGCCGGAGCGACTCCCTCCAATCGGCGGCGCGCGCACGGTGGACGCCCCCCCGACTTCTGACCCCCGACCCCGGGTCCCGTGCGTGGGGGCTCGGGGCGGCCGCGGAGTCGCGCGTCGGCGCGCTTGTGCCCCTTTTGTGTTTACACGCACGGGACGGGGTTTCACTCCTCGGGTGGCACTCCCCGCAGCACGTCCGCCCCTGAGCCCGAGCGGCGGGTCGTAAGCGTAGAGCGGTCGGGCCCCCACCGATTGAATCGCGAATACGCGGGGGGCAGCAGCAAAGTCGGGGGGTACAGGGGAGCGAGGCATTGGGGGGGGGGGGGGGGCGGTAGCCCGAACCCGACAGAGCAGTCGGGGAGCAGTAGCGCGATCGTGACGGAGGAGTCGGGAGGACGGCGGCCATTGAGTAGGTACGGAAAAATCCGTCAAAACTTGACCCCTACCCTGTCCGCACGCGGACTTTTTACCCCGCCCCCCCCCCCACCAAACCTGCGTACGTACTGTTGTATATGTCGGTTATGAAAATTTTGATGAAAATAATAAAAATTAAATGAAATTAGGAAAATTGCGTAATTATCCGAAATTATGCTAATCGGTGTAATTATGCGCATGCATTATGCTAATTCGAAAGATAATCGTATTAATTTATGCGAGTGGGTGTGATTATGCTAATGAAAGCCGTTACGATAATTAGGCCCCGCCTCGCTGACGAGGGCCGGGTTATCAATCGGGATCATACAATTAATCGCGTGAAGCTATACCGGTGTGATGCGAGTATGCCAGAGTAAGCTCCGCTTTATTATTAACGCTCGGTAATACAATTATTCTCGCTTTAACATTTACTGAGTGTATTAGTGTGTTTATGTCAGGTCTCCAATTGAGATCTCAACGCAGAATACAGTTCTCATAAATAAGATTATTATGCATGAAACGGGAAGGAAACGCACCAAACTTCCGTGTTCAAGCAATTTATTCTAAATGAAACCTTAGCTCTAATATAATATGCGAACTCCTCAATCTTGGAATTTTCAACACAGTATCGATACGGTAACCGCCAACGATTGCGTTGTTTCACTTTGGCAACGGCACACGTGATTCATTCCACCGCGTAATGCGAGCTCAGTTGGTGAGAGAGAGAGAGAGAGTCGTTAAAACATGCATGCTATTCTACACAAAAAACCTTAACCCTACAATATGCAAATTCGTATACTTGAAATTGGCCACACAGTACTGCACTCATTCATGAATCCATATGCAACCCTCAATGCAAATTCTTATCACGTTGTTACTGGGTATCAGAGCAATTGATTATTATGCAGTGTAACATGAGCACGTGCGGCGATTATGAACGAAAGGTCCTTAAAAATTATGTGACGACATTCATACGAAAAGGCAATCAAAACAAGTTATTATTCCCAAAGGCACAAATACACGTCAATGGATTCATCATGCTCATTCATATGATTTAGAAAAAAATGGCTTGGAGTAAAGGCGTGCGATGGTGCGCGTGCTCTCCCCAGAGATTCTTAACTTAGGCCAACTTTAATTAATTGTGGACAGATCGCCTGATGAGTGAGCGTAGCTCCGTGGCGAAGGTGTCAAGGATGCATTCGTATTGATGAATCCATTGGTATTTTACGCGATTAGACGTGCAACCCAAACAAACGAATTAAGAAGAAAGAAAAATGATTAATGTGCTTACAGACGACGGATTGTGTTCACTCGGTCTGCCGCGATACCTTGACGGCCACTGACGGCTCACGTACTTGAGGATTAGCCTTTTTTGTTAATGACTCGTGTATGCTTCGAGTGACGTGGATTATGTTGAGTAGGCCAGTGTTCGGAATTAATTATTTGTGTGAAGGCAGACGCCAGGTTTGTCGTGCGGTGGTGGGGGGGGGGGGGGCAGAGTGCGTCATGCGTATAGTTGATTTCTTCTTTCACAGCAGTCGAGTTAGGCGCGGTGTTCCGTCGGTAGGTGGCGCTCACAGCACGTGTCGCAGCTGCCTCGGCGCTCGTTCGTTGATGGCCGGTTGGGTCAACGTGCGACCCTTTCCGCCCCCTTGGTGGCTGATGCTGGGGTTCTCGTCTAGCTTCTTCTGATGATGTTGAACTCGCACGGCATGGCACGTAGCTAAGCAGCGAGTCTCGCCATTCTGGCGAGTTGTGGAGACTTCTTCTGCG